GTATGTAAGTTTTACCCCCCAAAATAAATAACCCCTTAAAACATAACTGGTGTGGGATTGATTTGCCGTTAGTATGAAGCCTTGGTATGAAGTGTAATTCCCAGAACCCATAGGATAGAAGGCTAGAAACACACACACACACACACAAAATTTAAAAAAAAAAAAAAAAAGGGAATAATCTTATAGTCTGGACACCAAAACTGTCATATATAGGACTTCTAATTTTAAAAGTTTTTGAAAAGATACCAAATTAGGAGTACAGCATGAGTTAGTCTGGAGTCAATTTCACACAGTTCTGTCCTGTTATTTCTGAGTGCTGGGAATGGCTCCCAGGGCCTCAGACATGCTAGGCAAGCATGAGCCAGTACCATTACCACTTACTCCCCAGCCACACAGCCAGTCCTACCCATATGAGCTCTCCTTTATTTAAGAAGATTCTTGTACTTACCAGTGACGTCTGATCCTCAAATGGTCTTGTAATATTTTTCCTAAGAATATTAAAAATAATGATTCCAGTTTTAATAATGTTAATAAGTACATTCAGTTAAATATAATGAATAAAAAGTAATATATTCAAATGATTAAAAGAGTAGGACACAGTGGGACGAATCTTTAATTCCACTATTTGGAAAGTACAAGTAGGTAGATGTCTATGAGTTCCAGACAAGCCAGGGTTGCATAGTGAGACCTTATCCCAAAATACACCACTCAACAGTAGGGTAAGAAGGCCTGGAGAGATGGCTCAGTAGTTAAGAACACTGGGTACTATTTCAGAGAACCCAAGTGGGCTCAATTCTCAGTACCCACCTGGTGGCTCACAACCATTTCTAACTCGAGGTCCAGGACCTCCAATGGCAACTGGCACACACATGGTGCAGGCGTGCATGCAGACAAAACCCCCAAAACATAAAATTAAAGCAAACAAAAAAAAAAATGCAAACAATCACTTTTAATCCCAGCACCCAGGAGACAGTAGCAGGCAGATCTCTGAATTTGAGGTTAATCAGGTCTACAAAGCAAGTTCTAGGACAGCAAGCACTACAGAGAGAAATCCCATCACAAAAACAAAAAACAAAACAAAACAAAAAGATTATCCTAAGTGTTGGGCTGGAACAACAGCTCAGCAGTTAAGGGTGCTTATTGTTCTTACAGAGTATCCAACTTCAGTACCAGAAACCCCATCAGGCAGCTCACCTCAGCTCTGTGGGATCTGATGCTTTTTGGCCTGGGCAGGTACATGGGCAAACACACTTACAGACAGACAGACAGACAGACACACACACACACACACACACACACACACACAGTTTTTAAGAGAGAGCAGAATGGGGGCTAGAGAGATGGCTCAGAGGTTAGGAGCACTTGCTACTCTTGCAGAGGGTCCAGGTTCAATTCCCAGCACCCACATGCAGCTCACAACTGTCTGTAACTTCAGTTCCAAGGAATCTGACACCTTGCACACCAATGCACAGAAAATAAAGTTAAATAAATTACATTTAAAAAGTATGAAAAAAAAGAGGGAGCAGAATGTACAAAGGGATTAGCTCAGAGAGGGCCTGCCTAGCACACATAGGGCCTTGGATCTCATCTCTAGCACTCCCCAACAAAAGGCAAAGATTCTGAAACACACAGAAGCTTAAAAAAGCAAAAAAGGCAGACAAGCACTGCTGTAACTGAGCGAGCTAAGTGGACAATGGTGTGAAATCCGTATGACTGCAACTGGGCAGCGCTTGGGAAGTAAAGCAGCAAGATCAGGAGTTAGAGGGCAGCCAGGCTGTATGCAACCTTGTCTCAAAAACCAAAACCAAACAAATATCCTCAGTCAAAGAAGGCAGACTATATACAGGGTCATTGTGTGCTGAGACCAGACTTTACCGGGATCCAATAACAATACTATAATATAACCTTCAAGAGTATACTGAACCCACACTGAGTTAAGTAACTTAAAATTAAAGGGATAAACAACCTTTTTCTTCAGAATTCCAAGCAAAAAGAAACAACCTTTTTCTTCAGAATTCTAAGCAGAAAGAGACCATAGAGCACCACAACCATCCTGATTGAACACACACACACACACACACACACACACACACACACACGACGCTAGAGCACCACAACCATCCTGACTGTACACAGACAGGACATTAGAGCATCACAACCATCCTGACTGTATACACACACATACACAAACATACATGACACTAGAGCACCACAACCATCCTGACTGCACACACAGATACTATGGAAGGATGGGTAACAGCTAAATTTCCAGAAAGGAAGAAGTCAGAGTCCTCAGAATTTGTGAGTTTAACACCCACAGATTCATGATTGTACATAGGAAATATTTGGGTGGTTATGGGGCTGCATCTGCACAGGACATGGGAAGACTTCTATTTCTTAGATTTATTCCCTAAACATTACAGCCAGCTGTGCATCCAGTATTTACACAGTAATATAGAGACAGCTGAGGGTATACAGAAAGCCGTGCATAGGTCATGAGACAACCATGCTATTTCACACCCAGGACTGGAATATCCACATATTGTATATTCCATGGAAGTCACAGATCCACTTCCCAAGAAATTACAAGGAAAGACTATATTTGCATAGTTTCAAAGTATCTCCCCCTAAATATTTACTAGCTACAAAATAATTGTATTTATTTATTGGAAAAATAATGACTTTATGAAGAAACTGGAGACAAAGTCACCAAAGACTTTCACAAATTAAAGACAAAGGATGGGGCCAGCAAGATGGCTCAATGGGTAAGCATTTGCCTGGAAAGCCCAGGAGCCTGAGTTCAATCTTCAGAGCCTACAGAAAGGTGGTCCTCTGCACCTGCACCATGGGACGTGAGACCCGCACACAGGCATCACACACAACAACAGAAGACGACTGGGGATATACAGCCCCGAGTGGCAGAGCACTGGCCTAGCATGGGTTCAATCCCTAATACTGCCAAGGAGGAAAAAGAAAATCAAGACTAGGGAAACAACTAAAAGCAATGTGGAAACTAAAAACTCAGTCAAGTAAATAAACCAATAATGTACTTCATATTAACACAGTAATGCCAATTCCCCACTTAATAACTGCACTATAATAATTCAAGATGTAACACTGGAGGACCTAGACAAAGGACATACAGGAATTCTAGTAATGCTTACAACTTTCCTATGCATATGTACTTATTTCAAAATAAGGTGTGTACATATAACAGTTATGCAAGAATATGCTGAGCCAGGCATGGTGGTGCACGCCTTTAATTCCAGCACTTGGGAGGCAGGGGCAGAAGATCTCTGGAGGTCAGCCTGGTTGAGTTCCAGGCCAGCCATGGCTGTTACACAGGGAATCCCTGTCTCGAAAAACACAAGAACAAGAACAAAAACATTCAGTACAAATACTAACACTTTTTTCTTTCAAATCTTTTGTAAAGCAATTCTTACTTTTACAGCTAAACAAAGTAAGTAATAATAATAAACCAACTTACTTTTTATAGAGAACTCCATATGGTTTCTTCAGGGCATACTGTAAAACATAATTTTAAACTTTCTCAAAAAAACATTCAAAAAGCAGAGTCATGCCAATCTTCCTGCTTCAGTCATTAAACACTGGAATTATACTCAGGGGTCATCACATCAGCTGTTTTCATTCAGGGGTGAGGACAGGACCTCATTATGTAGCATGGGCTGCCTTGACTGGCAATCTGCCTCTGCCTCCTGAGTTCTGGGTTTACAGGCATGTGCCACCATGTTTAATAAAACATTTGATGATTCTCAGCCAAGTGTTTCCCTGTCCCAGTGTAATGAACACTGTCACCTTTTCCTACAACCAAGAATGACCATTAGGTAATATACTCTGTAATACCGCACTGCTCTTAGATCTTACTCAACTGTGTAGGGTCACTGGGAAGTGGCAAGACTCAAATAAAAATCCACTCAGAGACTAGTCTTTAAGTACCTTTGCAAGTACACTCACAAGATAAAGTTTCCAATTTCAGCGTCTCTATTTACCCCCACCCCTCCCAACTCAGCTCTTCTTTAAGGCTGGATCTTAAGACATCACAATTCTACCACATTTGGCCCAACTGAGGATGCTCAAAAGTTTCTAAAAAGTCCAACCTTACTTTAAAAGAATATTTAAAGCCAGGCCGTACTACATAGTGAGACCCTGTGTTTTATTGTTTGGGTTTTTGGAGACAGGGTTTCTCTGTGTATCCCTGGCTATCCTGGACCGCACGCTGCAAACCAGGCTGGGATTAAAGATGTGTGCCACCAACCATAGCTTTTTTTTTTTTTTTTTTTTTTTTTAAAGCAAGATAACAGGGCTAGAAAGAGGATTCCTCTTCCAGAGAGTTCCCAGCATATCAGGAGGCTCACAGTCACCGTAGCCCCAGCTACAGGCGCTCCAAGGCCTCTGGCCTCTGTGGGCACCCACACAGACACTCAGCACTGGAGACGGTAAGTTTCTACCTACCACATCTCTGAGGACTTGCGTCATAGTTGCGTTCGCATTCCCTCCTTTAATCAGCATGGCATTCTTAATGTTTTCACTGAGCTTTGGTTCTCTCTTCTCAAGGAATCTCTTAGCCCTTTTGGTTTTAGGTTTTCTGTTCAAAAAAGCACAATTCATAACAATTTACACATTTTCCTCATATGACACACTACAACTTGACTGATAACTTAAAAAAAAATCAACAGACATCATATTCACATCTATCTAGTAGGAGTCCATCATTAAATAGCCTCACCTTTTCATAAAAGGGTTTCATAGAGGGTTTCATAAAAACCCTCACCTTTTCAGGGAGATATTAGCAAAGGTATTTATCATTACTGATAAATACATGTGTTTTGTTAGTTTTTGGTTCCTTACAAAAACTTTCTTTTGATATTTCCACATTGTTTTAGTACTGCTTTTTTTCTAAACCTCTCATTATTAAACACCGAAGGCTTCTGGAGCACCTGCTACTCTTATTGAGGATTAGGTTTGGTTCTCAGCACCCACACGGAGGCTCACAACTGACTGCGACTCTTGCTCCAGAGGAGCTGATGTCCTCTTCTGGCTTCTGTAGGCACTGCATGCACAGGGCACACAGAAAGCTACACTCACATATACAGAAATAAAAGTAAATTTTAAAACAGAAATGTCTCAAGCGAACAGTTATTAACTTACTATGTTTCTTCATGGTAGCTTATGCCTGTCATTATAGCTCTTTACTAATCAGGCAGCTCGGACTAGAAAAGTAACATGCCCAAGGTCTGGTGTGTAGGCCAATGTTAAAATGAATTAGATATAAGAACCCATCTACAACCCCCACTACCAGGAAGAAAAAAAAAACAACAACAACAACAAACCCAACCCTAATTTGTTATTCCAATTTTATGCTGGGGCAGTAACAGGATGTTATTATACATTTCTTTCTTTTTTCTTTTTTTTTTTGAAATGTTAGCATTTAATTGACCTCCCTGAGTGGCTTCAAGCCACCAGAACACGGGCACCTCCAACACCCTTAATCTTCTCTTCAGCACTTCTGCTGAAAAATTTGGCTTTCCCGATGACAGGCTGCTTAGGGAGCTTTCCCTTGCCCAGAACTTTGTAGTAGTTTGATCACAGGGCATCACCGATGGGAGCAACTCCAGTCTTGTTCTTGGCAGCGTTGACCCGGGTCTGCTCACTGACCGGTGTCCACAGTTTATCCAGGTGACAGTCTGGGCAGAAGCTCTCTTTAAGTGGTAATACCTCATACCAGCTTTCCCAAAGTAACCTGGGTGACTGGGAAGGGGAGGCAAGCACCTTCAGAGCCTCCCTCCCTGCAAGCTCATCTTGAGCTCTTCCTAGTGCAATGTTAATTTTCACCGTCGTAAACTTTGACACAGCAGAAACCAGAAACACACTTAACTAGCTCTTCCGTAGCTGAAAGTCAGGTCACTCACTAGCACCCCTTTCAAGAGGACAAAAGCCAGTCTAACTTCCATTCTTATGCATGTCACTAACCTGGTGACTGACCGTGCCAGAAAGTCCACAGTCAGTGAATAAGGTCAGCAGTTATTCTTCCAGGACTCTAGCACACTAAGGCAACGATCAATACCTGAGCGTGACTCTAGCCTCGGATATTATACATTTCTGTTTAGAAGAAAGCATTCAACTTGGCCTCCTCTATGGTAAACATGGTACTTTTCAAACAGTTTTCTGTCGTCTGCTAACAAAATGTCTCCTCTCTTAATTAAATATAACCCTCATCTTCCAGTCTTGGGACAGGAAGGGAAGGAAAAGAAAAACAATATACAGTCGGGTGGTGGTGGCGCACACCTTTAATCCCAGCACTCAGGAGGCAGAGGCAGGCGGGTCTCTATGAGTTCGAGGCCAGCCTGGTCAACGAGAGCTAGTTCCAGGATAGGCTCCAAAGCTAGAGAAACCCTGTCTCAAAAAAACAAAAACAAAAACAAAAACAAAAAACAATATACACTTTAGCTTCCCACATAGAACTGAAAAATTCTCCTTCAATAAAATGCTTTGGGTTAAACCACGTAGTCAGTCATTTACTGGTAGCTCAAAATGTATTTTTATTGAATCAACTACACTGTGTTTATACAGCAATAACGGCTCATGTTTTGTTTTGATTTTTTTCAATCTCGCTAACCAGTAATCAACCAGTAAACTGCACCTTACTCTATTAGCGAGGCACAGCGGGTGCAAAAAAAATCTACTGACCAAAAAGAAACTGTTGTGTACACGGCACATTTACTCAAAAAGCAGAAAACTGAGCCGGGCGGAGGCAGCGCAGGACTTTTATCCCAGCACTCAGGAGGAAGAGGCCGGCCTGATCTGCAGAGCGAATGCCAGGGTAGCCAGGACTACAGAGAAACCCTTTATCGAAAACCGGGGCGGGGGCGCCGGAAAACTCTTAACATCCAGTGCAGTAACATATGGGAACTCAATAATTAGTTTTGAGCAAACGTAACCATCCCTCAGTGACAAGCAGAAGCATACAAATTTAGACGGAAAAAAAAATAAAAGCTCTGTACTTGTTATGGCAAATACTGCTAAGACTACCATGGCAGCTATTTTACAGGGGAAACTGAATTCAAGAGTTTTAAAGGTTCAGTTACAAAACTTTGAAGCCGGCTTGTCGCCTGGTTCTGTCAGATTCCGAGGCCTGTACTCTTAACTCGGTCCACCGCCTTTCGCACACTTCAGAATCCATCCGTGGCGGGACCGTACGCCCTGGGCTCTGGCCACGGCTGTGGTCCTCGCTCCACAGCTCGCAGTCAGCCTGCAGGGCTTCTCCAGCAGACACGGGCGGGAGGATCGGCCAGCTCCTTCCCTCCGCGTCAGAAAAGCGCAATAACGGGGAGAGACCGCGGCAGAGGCAACAGCCCAGCCACTGGAGCCCCCTCACCCCCCTCTCCCCGCCATCGCGTACCACACACACTTACAGGACTTTATCCAAAGCGTCCATCGCTACCGGACTCCGAGCAAACACACGTGTAGCGCGCACTTCCGCGAAGCCGCCGCTAACGCCGGAAGAGGCGGTACCGGAAACACGAAACACGACTTCCTTAGCCCCGCGGTCCTCGATTGCGGCTATATTGGTAGTGTTACGGAATGCTTTGGCTGTATTCTGCAAAGTAAACGCTTTAAGTGACTTGCTGTGGAGCCGAGTTTTGGGGAAACAAATGTTCGCCTTCAGGGAAATAACCAGAATGCTAGAAAGGTTGGAGGCACGGCAATTACAAAAAAAAAAAAAAATACTGGCATGAAAACGACATCATTGGCTTAACTGCGAGACCTGTTGAAGCCGGTTAATTGCCCAGTTGCTTTCTACAAAAAAGATAAACGGAGAATACTGCTGATTGTGATTTCCCCTCAAATTTTAGTTATATAATTTGCATACAGTTATATAAAATGCACCCTTTAATATGCACAATTCAGTGGTTTAGAGTGCTTTCACAAAGCGGGTGATTAGCACAGCCTTGTAAAAGTAATTCTGGAGTTCGTGGAGACTCAGGATTGAAAGTTGAAGTCCAGCCTAGGCTCCACAGTGAAGTGCTGTCTCAAACACACACACACACACACACACACACACACACACACATCAAAGAGGTCAGCATTGGGGTGCAGGCCTGGCATTTCAGTACTTTGGAAATGAAGGCAAAAGGATCGGGCTGTGTAGGCCTCGGGATGCCAGCCTGTACTACAGGAGACCTGTATAAGACCTCAAGAAAAAAAAAAAAGTGCAACCATTACCCATAACCACTAATTTCAATATACTTTTATTACTTTGAAGAGGTCACCTACCCATCCACCCAATGGCACTGTCAGTCTTTAATCCAGTTTCATGAACTTGCCTATTCTAAATACATAGTATGAATTGATTCTCACACTGTGCTCTCATGTCTGATTTTAACCTACTAGGTTTTAGGTTTTGTTTTTTGAGACAGGGTTTCCCTACATTGCTTTGTCTGGCCTGTAACTTGCTATATAGATCACAAGGATCTTGAATTCACAGTGATCTTTCCATCTCTGCATCTTGAGTGACAAGATTGTAGGAGTTTGCCTCCACACCTGGCCTTTTGTTTTCTTTTATTTTTGTTCTTTTGTTTGTTTTGTTTTGAGACAGTGTTTCTCCATGTAGTCCTGGCTTTTCTGGAACTAGCTCTGTAGACCAGGATGGCCTCAAACCCAGAGATCTGCCTGCCTCTGCCTCCTGTCTGGGATTAAAGGCATTCGCCGCCACCACTACCAGGCACCTAGTTTACTGTATTAAGGCCTGTGCGTTTGTGTGTTGTTTTATGGGGAAGATTTTGAAATGCAATCATAGCTGGCACAGAGCTGTTGCCCAGGCTGATGTGGAACTTGTGATGCTGCCTGACACCAAGGACAGTTGGAATTAAATGTACATCCTTCCAAGATTAAGGGCATGTCCTGCCACTCCAGGAAATACATCTTTTTACATATTGGGACAAATGATGGCAGGAGGGAGGGTGACTTCTAAATAGCTTCAGGATAAGGACTGGCTGGAGCTACTGGGCTGTCTCAGAGGTAGAGCACTTCCTATAACACAAAGGTCCTAGGCTTAAACTCCTGCACTGAATTACAGAAAAAATATTGGCGGGTCCAACCTCACTTTGACTTACCATCATGAATGGTAAAGGGACTGGAGATATAATGTGGCCAGTGACTTAAAAAATCATGCTTAATAATCATGCCTTCATAAAAATGACTTTCTGTTTTGTTAAGGTGGTTTCTGTCTTGATTACGTGGAGGTTTTGGGAGGATGACTTTGAAAGATGAATACCCACTTTGTTCTTACAATGAGGCTTCTCCATCTGGCTTTTTCCAAAGAGGATCAGTTAAGTCATTCTCAGTACACAAATTCAAGGTCAGACTGGACTATAAAAGAAACTATTTCAAAATAAATAAACAAGAAATTCTAGTAAACTTTCCTGGGACAGGCGGTGATGGTGCACACCTTTATTCCCAGCACTTGGGGGTTGAGGCAGACAGATCTCTGTGAGTTGGAGGCCAGCCTGGTCTACAAAGAGAGTTCCAGCACAGCCAGGACTGTTACACAGAGAAACCCTGTCTCAAAAAATCAGAAAATACACACACACAAAACAAAACTTTCCCAGGTTCTTTTCCTCAATTCTAGGAGCTGTTTTAGCAAGCAGTTGAAAGTAAGAAAAGGATTGTGGGAACATCCAGCTTGTAACCAAGTAGTAAGTTGTGGGTAATTTGGGGACCCCGCTACTTGAGATTACTTTACATGTAAAGTAGAGATGGGCAATCCTATGGAACTGAGCCCTTAACCTGTGAGACCTGACACTAGGTCCCATGGGCAGTATCAGAACTGGACTAAGGAGGATATTGTAGGCATCTTCCAGGGAACCGATCTGTAAGAGAAACTCCACCATTTCTGATGTAGAACGTGAAGTGCTGAGGATAGGAAGACCAGAAGAATCAGTTCCGCTTTCCTCCAGTGGCAAAATGAAGAGACTCTAGTATTTCACAGCTTCTAGTCTTGGAAGAAATAAGGGTTTTTTTGTTTGTTTGTTTATTTTGTTTTGTTTTGTTTTTGTCCCTCTTTTTAGGGGGCAGGATCTCACACTATAATCTGGCCTGGCCTCAAGTTTGCAGCCTCCCAAGTGCTGGGATGATGTGCAGGAGCCACCATGCAGGGGTCTGCGTTGTTTTGCTCACTCTGGACCTGCTTTATCTGGGTCTGTACTTCCATTCTAATTAATACTAGACATCAAAAGACCTTCTGTCTCTCTTCAGTCTAAGCTGATGTCAACCTTCAAAATATTTGGTGGTTTTGCTTTGTTGGTTTTTGAAGACAGGGTTTCTCTGTCTGGCATTGTTCTGGAACTCGATCTCAGACCAGGTTAGACTCAAACTCAGAGATCCGCCTGCCTCTGCCTTCCAAGTCCTGGGATTAAAGGCGTGCGCCATCACTGACCAAAAGGGCTCAAGAAGGTTTTCTTATCCTTTCATAATATTTATTGGCTGCCTATTATATGATATATAATTTTGCAAAAAAAAACTACAAACAAATATGCATTTTTTTTACAAGTGTTAACACGAAATTTAAAAATAACCACGGTTGGGTTGGAGAGACAACTCAGTGGGTATAGGTGCCTTTTGCCAATTCTAGCAATCTGAAGTCAGCAGTTAAGAGTGCTTGTTGCTCTCCCAGAGAACCTGAGTTTGGTTCCCGGCACTGACATTGGGTGGTTCACACCCACATGAGTTGCCCTCCACACCGCATGTATGTGCTTCTTTTGAGATCCTACTATGTCTCCCTGGCTGGAGAGAACTTGTTAAATAGGTCAGGCTGGCAGTGCATTCAGAGGTACAGCCTGCCTCTGCCTGTACCACCATGCCCTGACCAGGTCATCTTTCTGATAGCTTTCTCCCTTGGTGGTACTGGGGATTCAACCTAGGGCCTCAAGCACGCTGAGTATTTTGACAGAGTCTTAGTAAGTCTCACTAAATATCCAGGCTTAACTTGAACTCACTTTGTAGCTCAGGCAGTATTCTTGCCTCTGCCTCCCAAGTAGCTGACAATACAGGTTATTATACCAGGCTTCGAAAGCCTATTAAAAAAAAAAACAAAAAAACTAAGGGGCAATGGCACAAACCTTTAATCCCAGCACCTGGGAGGCAGAGACAGGCAGATCTACATGAGTAAGAGGCCAACCTGGTCTATCAAGTGAGTTCCAGCATAGGCACCAAAGCTACAGAGAAACCCTGTCCCCCACCCCCCCAAAAAAAACCCTCAAAATCTGTGTGTGTGTGTGAACATATGTCTAAGGAGTCCAAAAGACAGCTTTGGGTCTCCTAGAGCTAGAGTTATAGGCAGTTGTGACCTGCCTGATATGTGTGCTGGAAACTGAACTTGTGTTCTCTGAAGGGCACTATGCACTCTTAAGCCCTGATCCAGCTCTCCAAAACAGATGGTGTTTTGTTGTTGCTTTGTTATTGTTTGGGGTGTTTTGAGACAGGGTTTCTCTATACAGTCCTAGCTGTCCTGGATCCTGCTTTGTAAACCAGGCTGGCCCTCAAACTCACAAAGACCCACTTGCCTCTGCCTTCCAAGCAGAGGGATTAAGGGTGTGTGCCACTTCCGCCCAGCCAGACTGTGTTGTTTAATATGCATTTTTTTAATGCTTGCCCAGTTGCAGTGGGCGGGAAGTAGAAGCTATGCAGATGCTCGACAAGTCCTGAAGCAGATGGCCTAGAACTTCCTCATCTTAACAGATTCATATAGCCTATTTCCTTGTTCAGATATTTTCTTGGTTTGGGTGGTGTTGAGCATCAAACTCAAAGAGTCATGCATGCTAGGTAATAACTCTACCACTCAGCTATATCTCCAGTTAAGGGGCTATCTTTTATCATAATATTCTAGTATCATACTTGATATTCCATTATTATCTTCAAGTATTGAAAGGGAAACTCAAGATCAGCAGGGATGGTGGCAACTCTTGAATTTCAGCACTCAGGAGACAGAAGCAGGCAACTCTCTGTTGTTTGATGCCTCCCTAGTTTACAGAGCAAGTGCTAGGACAGTCAGGATTACACAGTGAGAACCAATCCCAAACGAAACCCAAAATCACCTCAAGGTCGTTTTTCCAGGAAGGTTTTGTTGACCCACTAACCCATAGTGGTCCAGAGCAGCATCGGCTTTCCGAATCCAACCTACTGTCTTGTTGCTTCTGCCCTTCATAGTGTCTATATACAAGATGACTTTAAAATATAAGGACACTTGCTACAGTCAGAAGGCTGGGCTGGGCGGTGGTGGCGCATGCCTTTAATCCCAGCACTTGGGAGGCAGAGGCAGGCAGATCTCTGAGTTCGAGATCAGCCTGGTCTACAAGAGCTAGTTACAGGACAGGCTCCAAAGCTACAGAGAAACCCTGTCTCAAAAAAGAAAGGAAGGAAAGAAGAAAGGAAGGAAGGAAGGAAGGAAGCAAGCAAGCTGGAAAATTTAGGTCTAGCCTGGGTTACATAGCAAAACTTTGTCTCAGAAAACCAAAAGGAGGGTGGGGCTG